TAAGCGCTTCCCTGGCAAGCGCAAGGGCCTGAGTTCAATCCTTGGTTCTGCCAAAAAAATAAAAAAATAAATAAATAAATAAATAAATCTGGAGCATAGTGTTTACCATGAAGAGGTACTGTAGCCCTGAAGTTTTAATAAAATTGGATTTAAGGTAGATGATACTAAGCAAAATCAGCTAACATTTTTTATGCAAAGAGACCAAAATTAAAATCTTGATGTAACTGGGGCAGTGTAGTATATGTTTGTAGTCCCAGATGGGCTGAGGTGGGAGGATTACAAATTTGAGGCCATCATCTTGCCTCAAAGTAAAAAATTAAAAGTACCAGGATGTAGTTCATTGTTCCCTGGGTTTGATTCCTAGTACCTCTCAAAACCCACCTTAATACACACAAGTGCATCCAGGTGAATCTTTGTGGAAACCACTGAAAATTTTCCATCCTTCCATTCTCCCTGAACGTGTGGTAGTAGCCATGAATTAGACAGTAATAGAGTTACAGGGAAGGTTCAGAAAGGGAACTGAAGCTGTACCCATAGAAGGCAGCACTGGGACATTTCCTTAGTGAGGGGGGGAAAAAAAGCCAGCTCCATGAAGATGGCCTGGAGTAAACCTGCCCAAGATCAAAGAAATCAAAGCAAGACCTTTGATTACTCCCAGTGCAGCAAACAGTGTGAACATGAATGTGATAGTGTTGCTTCCCCACCAGTGATAGTAAACCTTTTAGAGCTTTCAGTGATAACGGCCAGCTGCAGCACAGGTGCCATGGTTTTGCCACCATGGCCCTATCCTCATGTTCATGAACAATAGGCCATAGTGGGCCTGGGTGGTGACTCAGTGCACTGTGCACTGCATTATAGCTGAACGGCCCAGGGCCCAGTTCTGAAAGCTTTGAGATCTGAATTTACTCATTCTGCCATTTAAAAAAATTTAAGAGGGCTGACTGTGTACCTCAGTGGTAAAGCCTTTGTGTAGCGTGTACAACATCCTGGGTTTAGTCCCCAGCACAACATGGATGGATGGATGGATGGATGGATGGATGGATGGATGGATGGATGAATGGATGAATGGATGAATGGATGAATGGATGAATGGATGAATGGATATCCTGGGGGAAGATAGTTTGAGACTGCACTACATTTCCTCATATTGTTGCCCACTAATTTTACTTCCATTGATAGATCTTGCCTGCAGTAATTATTGTGCTGTTTAAATGGTAATTTTATTTCCCTTGTACTTTCTTCATTATTAATGGAATTTTTACGTAAAGAACAGCTGACTTACCACTAATGTTGAGGATTGGGTGTTTATTTTATCCTGTGACTATCAGTTCATTTTTGTTTTGCTTCAGTGGGTCCAGCCTTTAACTCTACATATGTTATAATCACACAAGTACTAGTTTTCTGAACTGTGAAAAAAAATAAAACTTTACGGGTAAGAGTAAAACTCTCTTTCATTTTTCTCCCAACATCAACCCAGTTTTGTTATCCTATCAAGTATTTAAAATATTTATTTTCAGTTTTTCAAGATGGGATCCCTTTATGTAGTTCAGACTAGCTTGAACTTACTGTAGAGCAAGGCTGGCCTTGAACTCATGGCCATCCTCCTGCCTCAGACTCCTGCATTCCGGGATTATAGGCATGTGCCACCACACCTGGCTTTACTCTTTTGAGATAGGGTCTTGATTTGCAGACCAAACTGACTTCAAACCCTCTATGTCCCTGTCCCAGCCTAAGCCTCCTAAGGGTTGGGTGTATAGGCATGAACTACCACATCCAGCCAAATTCTTTTTGTTTTTATTTCTTTTTTTTAATTTTAAATATTTATTGAGTGCTTATTAAAAAAAATCAAAATTTTGACATCAGCTGTTTACTTGATTAAAAAATCTAAAAGATAATATCAAATAAAAACCCACGTGAACTACAGTATAAACACAAATAAAAATAAGCTTTGCCTTATCTGTCAGAGCCAAGGCACTCTTCACACATCACAAATGCATGTTCCATACACAAGTATCACTTACACTGACTATATGTAGGTCTTGTTTTCCTGTCCTTTCTTGTAGGGCACAGTTGACTTTTTTTGTTTTTCTGTTGATCTAGTAGATCTTTGGGATGTGGCACTTTCTTGTTTACTTGTCAGCTCACCACTGTGGTCTGTAGTTTTTTCCTGTTTTCCTCTTCTGTAATGACCTCTTATGAGTTCCAGTCCCAATTCTCTTAAGAAATTTTCTTCACGGTATTTTGCACTTGTTATTTTCTTCATAAATTATCAAACTGTTTATGCCATACATGTTTAGAATCAAGTAAAACACAACCCTGGCCAATGCTTTGTGCTTCAAATGACACCATAGTTGCTGCATAGCTCATCAACAGCATCTACTCAACCTTTGGTTTTGTAGTAGAAAGACTTCTACTCTGTCAGAGTTTCCCTGTTGATATTTCCACTATGGTGCAAAGTTGACACCAGAAGTATCAGTTTGTTATTCTTTGCTATTTATGAGGACAATGCTGCATCTTTCTGAAATCCAAAGACTGTACTATTCAATTCTCTGTTTTGAAATTGCAACACATCTTTTTGGAATTTCCGCTTTGCTCTTGTGTACAGTTTCTGTGCTGGTCAATTTGTGCTCTGCGTAGGACAGCCCAGCGATCTCCACAAACAGCTCTTCCTCAGAGAAGCTCTCAAGGAACATGAGGAAGGCCGTGGTAACTACACTCCTCAGGTTCTTATCCAGGAATGATTGCAGGGTGACATCCTCATTCATTGCAACAATTTTCACTGGTTTCTGGAGGCAGCCAGTGATGTACAAGTGATTCCAGCCTAGCAGGTCTTCAGTCAGGGCACAGATGCTAATCACCCCATACTTGAAAAGCCTACCATCACACAGGATCAATGGATTATAGTAAACTCTGGCGCCATAGTTATTTTGAACAGAGATGATTATCTTGGGCCCCAAAAGTTTTAGGAGAGTAGTGGCTCCAATTCTTCTTTAGGTTCTTTGAACGTCAGGCAACGGGATCATCTACCATGAACAAATGAAGTCCAGCATGACATCCTTCTGGTCTGAATTGGGCCCAGCCTGGTGGTATACCCCTGAGCCATAGGTGAAAGCCAGGCTCAACTCCTCAGGGAAATGGGACAGGATCCTTTGGAAGGCCACTCGTGAGCTCTGCAGCACCATGGGGCGGGGTGAGCCTGTCAGGGATGAGAAGACTGGGGTGGGGACCAGCCCACACTGGAGGTGGGACACCAAAGATCTATGAAGGTCACCAGCAGCCCACAACAGTGGGACTGGAACCTTGTCAAGGTGGGAGACTGGCCACGCCGGCTCTTGTTTCATTTTTTAAATCTTTTTATTTTTGTTTTAGAGGTGGGGTCTCACTATCTCAACCAGGTTAGTCACAGACTTCAGTGCTCGAGTGATCCTCCTGTTTCTCTGTCTTCCAAGCATCTGGGACTATAGGCATGTGTCACTAAGTGTTCCTTTAAGATTTTTTATGTGTTTGTAAATGCACATACCTATAGGGGAAATCTATTTTTACAAGTCTGAGGACTTTTTTGCTTTCTTTTTCTTTCTTTCCTTTCTTTCAGAAGAAACGGTATGTTTTATTTTCTTTACTTGCTTTTTATTACATACATCTTGGTGGCCTGTTCGTGCTATACATACAGCCCTGCTTCATCATTGGGAACATCCATAGAGTATCTATTGGGCAAATGTTCTTGCACATGACTCCAGATGTACAACACATGTGGGGTTGTTGGCTGTGTCCCTGCATTTTTACAGCCAATCCATGAACTGCTCTCCCAAGTAGCTGATACTTTTCACCTTTTATGCTGGCACTGTGACAGAGTACTCATTGGTCAATGATATTTGATGTTTTCTTTTTTATTTTTTTGCGGTACCAGGGATTGAACTCAGGACCCTGAGCTTGCCAGGCAGGCGCTTATTCTACTGAGCTGTCTCCGGGGCCAATAATGTTTTCTATATCTAAAATTTTGGGCTGTTTGAAAGTTAAAATGATATTTTGTTTTTATTTGCTTTCTTTTGAGATAGTGAAGTTTGATTTATTTCCACGTAATTGTTAGCCATGTACATTTCCTTTTCTGTGGTTTGCCCATTTTAACCATTTTCTTATTGCTTTGTATGAGTTCTTTGTATATGCTACATTTGTTCATTTAACAAATAATTTGTTGGTCTCTAACCCCCTGGCCTTGGTGTAAATACTAGGGTATCAGCAGTACAGCTTCTAATTTTACATTCTGAAGAGAAAGTTGCATCAAGGCAAATCTAAATAAAATGAATAGGGGGCCAGTGAGATAGTTCAGTGGATTAAATGACCAGGTTCAATCTCCCGCATTACATGTTCTACTGGGCCACCCCCAGGTGTGCTGAGCTGGCCACTGAGTCCAGGTGTGGTGGTGCACGCCTGTAATCTCAGCACTGCAGAGGCTGAATACAGGGATCACTATGAGTCCAAGTTCTGTAGTAAGATCCTGTACCAAATACATTAAAAATAAAAAAATGAATAGGTATGTATATAAAAATAGGACAGTGGTTAAGAATGTATTTCCCTGTGCCTCTATCCGCAGACTCCAACTCCTGGACTTTTGCTATTAGGCAGGTGAAAAAGAAGCCTTCTTAGAGAAGATAGAGATGAGATGATGAAGAGAAGCTGGCCATGAGAAGTGTCCAGACAGGGAGAACAGTATGTGCCTTGGGGCAGAAGTCCTAGTGAGCAAGGGGAACAGACAGACAGGTCAGATTGTCACAGGGGGAGATGATGTACTCCTTAGTGTGAGAGATGTTACTCTCAGGATCTCTTGAAGGGCTCAGGTCTGCTGTAGGAGGAGAGCTTCAGCAACTCCTCCTTCCCTGTTTGGGCTAGGTTATCAAGTAGTTCCTTGGTCTAGGATTTATGCATCAGGAGTGGATCATTGGGTTTGTGGTTATTTCAAGGCATAGGCCTTTTCTTTAATAAAGGAAAATTTTCTGTTTCAGATTACCTAGGAACAGTACGATTTGGGGTTATCACAAATAAACATCTTGCGAAACTGGTTTCCTTAGTACACTCTGGAAGTGTGTATTTACATAGACATTTCAACACATCACTTGTAAGTATTTTGAAATTGTGTTTGTAATAGTGCAGTGGTTCTTAACTTTGTGTAGGACACAGACTCCTTTGAGAATCGGATAAAATCTGTGGACATTCTATCTAGGAAATGCACATAATTTTGTCTGTACATTGAGAGTTCTTACAAGCCCACCTAGAGCCTGTGCCCCTGGTTAAGAGTCTGTGCAATAGAGAGCTATTGACTGTAACATCAAGACATTCTTTGTGTATATTCTTAGATTTTGATGTAGCCTTGTTAGTTTGTCTTCTTGGATGAAATTGCAGTTCCTCTGTTGGAGAGTTGTTACTCTGGGCCGATGTTCTCAGAGTCTAAACTTCCACTGGACGATGTCTTTTGTTCACTTATTCCTTTCATGAAGAATAGTGATGTCATTTGTTTTTGTCCTTAGCTGATGTAATGGAGTTTTGAAATTCTTATCAAGTCATAACGAGAAGTTCATGGCTTCTTATCCCAGAGATTCTTGGTGCAAATATTATCTCCTTTGTTCCCCAATTTCATTTGCTTTTTGGTGGGACAACTCCACTCAACTATTTCTGAGCTTTGGCCTATACCTTGCATAATCTTGTGCTTTTCCTCTATCAGTGCTACTTCCTCAGTCACATCACTGAGTGTTTATTTTTCTAAAGTGTTTTCTGTCCCTTTAACATTGTCAGTGTCGGTGGCTTATGGTCCTATGAAGATCAGTGACCTGGTCTCTTTAATCTTGAGCTCCCTTGGATCAGCGGTGCTATTGGGCCCTCTCTGGGGGAGCTACTTGCTTGTCATGATCCTAACTTCTGTGTATAGCTAGGAGTCTAGCTTTACTTGCAGTTTTGATATTCCAAAGTCAAATGTATTTTTATGTTTTTCAAACAGAAATGTTTGTGATGGCGTTTGAGTGTCTGTTTTCAAATTCCTATCATCCCACTTTGAGCATTACTGCTATGATTGTCTCCCTGCCACCCATTCATTCTTCATGCTTGTCTAAGCTTCTTTTGGCTTCATATGCTTTTGCTAGCTATTTTTTTTTATGTTCTTCATTTATAGCATACATTTATACATATTTATAGTAAAGGGAAGAAATTTTAAATGGAGAAAAAATAGGAGGACTATGAGGTAAAGCCAGGTGTGGTGGCACACACTTGTAACCCCGTCACTCGGGAGGCTGAGGCAGGAGGATCATTGCACATTCGAGAACAGCCTGGCCTCAAAGTGTGCTAAAGGCCACTACATAGTGAGATCCTGTCTGAAAAATACAAAAAAAAAAACCCACAACTATGAGGTGACATTGAAAAACAAATAAATTTACTGCTTCAGTTGGATAGTACTTAAAGGTATGGTTTTATCAGTAGAGTTCCTTTTATCAAAGAAAATACTGGAATAGCTGTATTTACAAAAATAAAAACAGTAGTCATGTATGGTGGTACGTACCTGTAATTCCAACAATTGGGAGGCTGAGGCAGGAGAATTGCCGTAAATTCAAGGCTACCCTAGGCTACATAATGAGTTCGAGGCCAGTCTGAACTAGTGAGACTTTGTCTCAAAGTTAGAAAAAAAGAATAAGCAGGGGCTGGAGAGATGGCTCAGTAGAATAAGCGCTTCCCTGGCAAGCACAAGGGCCTGAGTTCAATCCCTGGTTCCGCCAAAAAAAAAACAAAACACACAACACAAGCTGGTGAGTATCCATCATGAAGTAATTTAAATATTCATTTTGGAGGGTATCAAATATTTCATTTTGTGAAACTCTCCAAAGCCTCTCTATGGAAATTGTTCCAAGCAAAGGTTTATATTATTAGACTTTGAAAAACAATTTTATGTTTACGTACATTGACTGTTAAAGAAAACACAGAAAAGCTTAGTTTCTCTTTCTTCCATCTGATACAGAAACTGGGCCTTGTGCAGATTTTGGTTATTCACACACACATCTATTGAGTCCTTGTTCTGTGGTAGGTAGGATTTCATCCAGTCAATGAAGATGCCCTTGTAAGCAGTATTTGTAGGCCGGGTTTGAGGGAACAAGGTAACCTAACTTCATAATTCTTGTTCTTGTAGATGGGCCTTGGTCTTTTTATAAACATCTAATAGTGGTTCATAGCTCTCCTTGGACAGGTTGATAGAGGCTGTTATGGCCACCAGGAAACAGGCAAAATTACTTGTGTGTAGGTGAGTCCATATAAAAGGAGGAGGCTGACCTGAAAACCATTTCCTGAACCCACTGTTGCTTTCTCACCACTTGTGAGGAAAGGCTGTCTGGAGAAATAGTTACAGCACAGGCAGTTGTGGTGGCTTCGAGGCTCCTTTTCCTCCCTGTAGTGTGGGCTAACCACCCGGGAGGACAGTGCTGTGTACTTTGGTCCTGTCCTGGCATGCTCACCTTTCCTTTGTCTGTGTATTGTTCCTTTGCAGGTCTTCCCCAAGGAGGTCATGAACTTCACAGCTGAGAACATCTACAAGTGGGCTTCAGAAAACCGAGAGACACTCTTGCAATGGCTGCAGCCTCATGGAGGCAAGAGTCTCCTGCTGAATAACGAACTGAAGAAGGGACCGGCACTCTTCCTGTTCATACCATTCGATCCTTTAGCCGAGAAGCACCCCCTCATAGATGAGGTCAGAGTCTCAGTGGTCACGGTGCTAATTAGCTCATACTTCTCTCTCTACACTAAAGGCTGTTAGCTGCTGCAGTGATGCCACTATTCTTTCCTCCTCTAAGTGGACCTTGTGCAGATTTTGGTTATTCACACACACATCTGTTGAGTCCCTGCTCTGTGGTAGGTAGGGTTTCATCCAGAGCCACACTTAGGATGGGGACTGCCCAGGCCTCTTGGGCATATTTAGTGCCAGCTGCTTGGATCTGAGGTCAGTAGGAAAGATGGGAAGTCAAATTCTTCTTCTTTAGAGAAAAAATGGTCTCTTCCTGAGGCTTTCTCATTGAACTTCCAATTTGGGGAGTGGGAAGAACATAGGCAGGGATTGGTGTGGCTTAGGAGGAGATGCTGTCATGGAGGGTGGCCAGTATTATCAGGACAGCAGAAAAATGTGTGGCTCAGCAGCCAGTTTCAACAGCAGGTGTTGGAACACCTTGTTTCTCTAAGCTTTTCGTGTTGCACAGATAGACAGAATGGCTGTCAGAGGTAGCTATCACCAGGAGTCTGCCCCTTCCTCCTTTTCTTGCTTTCTGGGGCAGTTGGCTCTTTCTGAATGTGAGTTTATTTTATACATGGATTGTTTGGAGGCACTTAGGGCAATAACAATCAGCAGAGAGAGACTGGGGTTGCTAAATTAGATTTAGAGGATTTTTTTGTTCTTTTTTTGTTTGTTTGTTTTTGTTTTTTTTTTTCTTCAAGGATCCCTTAATTGGCCAAAGCCAATTTCAGATAGCTAATGTACCACAGGCCAGGCCATGCAGACACGGCCTCAGCCCACACCCCTTGACACTCACCTGGCCCTCCAGGCAGGATTTCTTGCAGGTTACCCCTCTGAAGTTTACTTCTCTGGAGTGTTTTTGTTGGTAATTTATCCCTGTTAGGAATCTTCTAAACCGTATCATTGTTTTGGCTTAGAGGAATAAGAAGAGAAAAATAGAATTGTTGTTTCTTCCCCTCTGGTGAGGGAAGCTTTAAAGTAATAAAACTTCATTTCTTTAGAAAATGTTTGCTATACAGGTACTTGATGAACTAAGATACTCTTTCATGTGAGTAGGCCTTTGCCATTTCTAGTATATAAAGCCTTTATAGAAAAGGCAAGATTTCAATTCAGGTGGTGACTACAGTTGTGGATGTTTTACTTTTATTTCTAGAGGTTTCTTCTGCAGAACTGCTGTCTGCTTTGGGCTTGCCAGGGCCCTGGGTAGGGTGTCTGGCAGGACCCCCATCCTCTGCAGAGGGCTGTGATGGGGTAGGTTCTTGGTGAGAGGAAGGACCTTGCTTTACAGCCCATTGTTCTTCTATAAGTGGTTCCCCTACATTTCACCTCTCCAGTACCTACAGACAGGCCTTTTTGTCACAGCTGTGCCTGTGGCTCCTGTCCTTGGGTTTCCAGTATACCTGTGAGGCATGTAGATTCCTCAACCGCAGCTTATGGTTGAGACAGCTCCTTACAGTGTTGTAATTGTATGGATGAGCCACTGTTTGCCTTGCATATTTACCCCAAAGTTTTGGGCTAGTTTGGCAAGTGTTTATTGAATACTTTGCTGTACACTTGGGGGATAGGATATATATGTGGCAGTCTCAGATTTCTGTCTCAGGATAGTCCAGCAAAGTCTGATCCAGCCCAGGCTCAACACCAAGAGGGCTCATAGGGTTAAGAGAGGCTTTTTGGGGATGGGGAAGGATAGCCTGATCCTGGAGGATTGAGGGAAACTAAAGGAAAGAAGAGCTTAAGGAGAGGAAGCAGTGGGAAGTTGCAGGTCTAGGGAAAGAACCCAGGCTCTGTGGTACACTGCTATGTATCACTGGTGTAGACAGCAAAAGAACCTTGGAGGGGAGCCCTAGGTGCTCCTCTGGAGTCCAGAATTCACTGTACCCATTAGAATCATGTGACCAATGAAGAGATGGGGCCAGGGCAGGATGGTTTCCTGGCAGCAAGATTTGAAATGGGAAAAGTAGTAAGAACCTAAACTTGGGTGGTGCAGGACAGCAGCAGCAGCCATGAGCAAAGATGAAGAAGCCATTGGTTCACACTTACACAAGATAAATTGTAAGGACCTTGGAGCATAAGGTAGTTTCATTGTACCTTTGTAGGCCTGACTTTGGGCAGGAAATTGAGGAAGCTTACATTGTTGAGAAGAGAAAGACTATACAGTTGAGGAAATGCCAGGCGAGGATATTTGAGATGGTTGTGGTAAAGTGGATAGGGTGTCAGAAGTAACTAGATGGTAGCTGCCCTTAAACATATGAGGGCCAGCCAGAGAGCTCAGCAGATTAAAGCACCAGCTTAGGCAGACATAGGGGTTGGGTGTTCAAGCCCTGCCCTCCCATGCTGGCCCCATTGCCAGGGAGCACTGCACCTGCAATCCCAGCACTTGGGAGGCTGAAAACAGAAGGATCACTACAAGTCCAATGTACATAGTGAAACCCTGTAGACCCTGTCCTAAATATTTTAAAACAAAACAAAACAAAACAAAACAAAAAAAAAATGTGAACCTACATGGAGAAGTACAGATCCTGCCTCCAGCATCATGTGCGAACGCCCAGGGCCTCCAAGATGGCTCTAGAGAGGTTAAAGGTCAGCAGTGTGCTCAGCCAACAGAGTTAGTGTGGCTTATTTCCAAGCTAAGCATTTTTTTACAGTGTCCATATGAGTCTGATGACCAGAAGCCTTGCTATTACAGTGACTTAGGGTTTCCCTAGTGGGAGAAATGGATTGCAGTGTCTGTAATGCAGACATTCAAAGTTACTTGCCAAATTTTTCCTTAATAGTTTATGTAAATTAAATATATCATTGATATGGTAGTAACAGGATGTAGCCTGGGTTATTTCAAAACAGTTCCGTTCATTAGAGCGAAGTAAGAGTGGCTTACTGGGGCTGGCGAGATGGCTCAGTGGTCTAAAGCACCTACTTAGAACAAGCTTAGCAAAGCACTAGGACCACAGTTCAATCCCTCAGCACCACATGCCAGCCAGCCCCGCCCCCTGGTGGGCTGAGCTGGTCACACACACATAAATAAATAAATAAATAAATAAAATTAAAAAAAAAAAAAAAGAGTGGCTTACTCCTCAAGAGCATTGCTATATACAAAATACTGTCTTCAGTTAAAGATGTTCTTCAAATGGCTGCTTTGTGAATGACAGTAAAACTGATAGATGGGAGGAAAGAAGATTCTAGAACTCCTAATGCTTTCCTACTTGAATTTTTTGTAAGAGAAGACAGTAAATCTTGAAGTTTTATGAGGTGTTTGGGGACAGGTGATGGGACTAGCTGTCTACTATTGCATCACTAAATACCAGATAGTTGTAGAATGAACCTGGAACAGAAGAGACTGGTGGTTCAAATGGGCTTGGTCTGTTAACATTGTGCCACTAGAGCCTCATGTAGATAAATTGGAGGTATTTCTTTGCACAAAAAACAAAAAGCAACCCAAAATTTGTTTTTTGAAAATTAGACTTACACTGATTAATTTTTTGTACATGTACACTTCATTACTTCTCTCTGTCACACTCACCCATACTTAATGTAATGAAATCCTGAGTGACTAAACACCTTTTAGCTAACCAGTGACATTTGATTCGTATACCTTTTCTACTTTCAAGGGTAAATGCCTTTGAATTATAACTTGCTCATCTTATGAAACTAGGATTAAGGTGAGAGTAGGACGTAAAGTTACTCCATTTGAAAATGGAAGACTCTTGGAGGAAAAATTAGTTTACAGATTACTAATCTTGATTGGAGGATGACATGGTTAATTTCATCAATAGAAGGAGTATGTGCATTGTCCTGAAAGGCTATGCCTTCTTCCAGTGCTAACTGAGCATTCGGTATATACCTGGCTTTGTGATAGGCTCTCAGAGTAGCAGGATAAATATGTAGGTCCATAAGCCTGTGGGAAAGAGGAGTGTCAGTCATCTGAAGGCTGTATGTTTAAAAGTAAGAGGAAAGGCCAGGGATATAGCTCAGTGGCACAAGTTCCTGTCTGGCAAGTGCAAAGTCCTGAGTTCGATTTCCGGTACCCTAAAAGTAAGAGGGAGAGAGTAATGAAAGTCTAGTTACAATGGGGAAGAAAAGGGTGGTATTCTGGAGAGGAGGGGCTGCATTTAAGGCAGGTGATGACACAGAGGATAAACTGAGGATCCTCTGAATTTCTAGTTTAATGATGCTGTATTTTCCACAGAAGGGTTGCAGGAGAAGGAACAAGTTGTAGAGAAGATAAGATGAGTGAGTATGGTTTGCAACACTGACTTGCCAGCCTTCTATATGGCATGAATTTATTTGGCACTGTTTGTGCTGTAGAGCATTTTAATCCACTGGTTAGGTGTTTGGAAAATTTTTAAATGTATTAAGATAGAGAAAAAAGACAGGAGTTTTAAAGGGTAAGGGAAAGTACACTTAACTCAGAGTCAAGGGGTTTAAGTTCTGTTGTTCCAGTTCTTTGAGCTTTAAGTCCTGAGCTGAGCCACCTCACATTGGTTGTAAACAGAGTGACATGTTGTAAAAACTAACCTAGGCCTCTGAAGCGAGTTTGGTGTGACTGTTCCCACTTCAAGACATCCTTCTAGGCTGTATTCCTTTATTTTGTAGAGGTAGTAGAGGTACTTTCTAGATGTAGCTAACAGCTGTGGGCTTTCTCCCTTGGAGTCATCCTCATCACCTCTGCTCTGCTTTTCAGATCACCGAAGTGGCCTTGGAGTACAACAACTGTCACAGGGACCAGGTAGTGGAGCGCCTCCTTCAGCATCTGCGGCAGGTAGATGCACCGGTGTCACAGTCCTTGGCACCAGAGCCATCATCTCCGCTGCCAGACACATCAATGACAGCAGCATTGCCCTGCTGCAACACTGTGGTGCTGCCCCAGGGGCACTCCTTTTCCAGGACCCATAACATCTGCGAGCTGTGTGTCAACCAGACTGCTGGGGGCATCCGGCCGAGTTCAGTCAGTGTGCCGCAGTGCAGCTTCTTCCAGATGGCAGCGGCTCTGGATTCCTTCTACCTCAAGGAGCAGACCTTTTATCACATGGCATCGGACAGCATGGAATGCAGCAATTTTTTAACTTCCTATAGCCCTTTTAGCTATTACACTGCATGTTGCAGGACCATAAACAGGGGCGGGGTAAGCTTCATTGATTCTGAACAAGGTATATTTAAAACCCCAGGCACTGCACTTTCTTCCCTGGAGAAGTGTGAGGCCACCACCCCCAGCTCTGTTCCTCACATTGAGGAGAACGGGTATCTCTTCCCTGAAGTGGGTATGACCAGCACCACCTTCACAGGCCTGAGCTGCAGAACCAACAAGACCCTGAACATCTATCTTTTGGATTCCAATTTATTTTGGCTATATGCAGAGAGACTGGGTGCTCCAAGCTCCACCCATGTGAAAGAATTTGCCACAATTGTTGATGTGAAAGAAGAATCTCACTATATCTTGGATCCAAAACAAGCACTTGTGAAGTTCACCTTAGGTACTGTAAGCAGTTTACCTCCCTGAGTATAAGTTTTGCAACTGGGCATGGTGGCACACACCTATAATCCCAGCACTCTGGAGGTTGAGACAAGAGGATCTCTGCACATTCGAGACTAGCCTGGGTGCTACAAAAGTTAGCACAAGGCCAGCCTGAACTGCATGGCAAAACCCTGTCTCAAAAAAAAAAAAGCTTTGCTTAACATAACTAACTTGGGTTAATGGGTCTTGTTACTCTTAACTGTGGGAGTGACATAAATGCTGTAGCTAATTTTAAGCAAGTATTTATTTATTTATTTATTTATTTACTTATTTATTTATTTTGGTACTCTGCATCAAACCCAGGGCTTTTATACTGAGCTACATCTCCAGCCTTTATTTTTTGCTTTGTTTGATAGATTTTGGTTTTGGTACAGGGAACCAAACTCTGCATTTGCCAGGCAGACACTTATGCTACTGAGCTACATCCCCAGCCCTTGCTTTTGGTTTTTTGAGACAGGCTTTTATGTATTTCAGTGTCAGTTTGAACTCACTATGTAGCCCAGGTTGGCTTTGAACTCATGGCAGTCCTCCTGTCTCAGCCTCCTGAGTGCTGGGATTATACCATCATGCCTGACCTCATTTTAAGTTTTTAGACAGTTTGTCATAAATTGTCCTTACCTGTTGGTCATAATTTAAAGAGAAGCTAAATTTGTCTGTTAAATGGAACAGAAACTTCCTACGTCCAAATTTTGGAAGTTTGTCAGCATATTATGTGAAGAGTCCACCTTTCTAGATTGATGGCTCCTGTCACGTGTCTGAAGGTAGAGCCAGTCTTAGCACTGTGGACGCAGCTGCTGTACCAGTCAGGAACATGAGAGCTGTTTGGCAGGGGCTGATGAAGTGAGCCATTAACACAGCATCATTCTAAAAGAGCTTGAGAAGATAGAAACAACACCTCGCCTCCTTTTTGTCTCATGGGTTTGAAATAAATATCAAGGCTTTTAGGCTGGAGGGGTTCCACTGCAGTTTTATGGCAATGTTGAGTGCTGTTCTGATCTTGAGTGCCTAGATTGTAACAAGTAAGTGTCAAGTGCAGTAAATGTCAAGTTGCAAACCAGTAGCAATTACTTTTCAGAGCTTAAGGCTGTGTTTTGGGAAAGCACCCCACAGCTTTGTTCCTGGAAGTTGACAACAACAGTGAACTATTCACTGTGCAGTTCCCTGGACTTTGTTGCAGTCCCTGACATGCACACAAGAAAGCAAAATTCAAAAACCTTATTAGATTAGCCTCACTGGAAACTCAGGGGTGACTGAGTTTACCAAATAGAAAAGGAAGAATTTGGTAGGGAAGGAAACTTTATTTGTAAATTTGGAATGCCAAGAGTACATTCAGAGCTTCTAAATCCTAGGCTCTGTAGCTACCCTCTTCATGCCCTAAGTGATTCATGTTTCTTACATTGGTCGTGTTTATTTTAGGATTTATGCAAATCTGAGTTTTTTGTACCAAATAATATATTACAGTCATTAAGGTTTGTTGGTGCTTAAAAGACTGACCAACCACTTGTTTGTTTTTTTGTTTGTTTTTTATTTTTGTAAGGAAAGGTCTACAGTGTGTTTAGGGTCTCACTACCAGATCAGACTTGTAATGATCCACCTGTTTACAGCCTCCCAAGAGCTGGGATTACAGGGGTGGGGCCTGCACCACAGGTCTGGGGATGGAAACCCTGCTTGCAGGCGCTTTAATCTGATGAGCTCTTTAGTTGGCCTGACCAACCACTTTATGGGGGACTTAAGTACGTGTTTGTTTTCTTTCTTTCTTTCTCACTACATAGATCAGACTTGTAGTGCTCCTCCTGTTTTCAGCCTCCCAATGCTGGGATCACAGGCACGCACCACCATACCCAATCTCATTTGTTGTCTCAGCATGCCCTTGGGGCAGGGCCAGCACAGCATGCTGGGGATTGAACCCCAGTTACTATGTCTGCCTAAGCAGGCACTTCAGTCTGCTGCCTATCTGGCCGGCCCTCTTTTTTTCTTTTCTTTTTTTAATGTATTTGGTACAGGGTCTCACTACACAACTTGGGCTTGCAGTGATCCTCCTGTTTTCAGCCTCTCCGGTGCTGGAATTACAGATGTGTAACACCATACCCAGTCTCTATGGGTTCCTCAACAGGTGGGGCATTTGGTGCCAGGGATCAGAGCTTGGCCAGTCCCTAGCTTGCCTAAGCAGGTGCTTAGTCTGCTGAGCTATCTCACCGGCCCTCAGTGCATGTTTTCTAAGAACACCTTGGATATATTTTCTTTAAAAGCAATAAGCTGCTACTTTTTTTTTTTCCCTCCATTTTAAACGATCTCACTATGCAGTTTGGACTGGCCTCAAACATTGATCCTCCTCCCTCAGCCTGTCCAGTGTTTTGATTACAGATGTACAACAGTATGCCTGGCCAGCATTTTTTCTTTTTTCTTTTTTTTTGCGGAACCAGGGATTGAACTCAGACCCTGGCGCTAGCCAGGCAAGCACTTATTCAACTGACCTATCTCCCCAGGCCCATGAGCTATCTCCCCAGCCCCCATTTTTTTCTTTTTTTTAAAGAAAGAGTTTATTGGGTTTTCTTGAATTCTATTCAGATCACTTGACCATTTGATGAACATAGTGTGTTTACCTTGAATTTAAGAGCTTTTAGAAAGAAACCTTTGAATTTCATTCATCTTTTCTACCTGCTCTGAAATGTCTAGCCCAGCAGTTCTTCATCCTAGAATTGGTGATTCTTAGGGGTCCTTATGATACAAACCATGTACTTGTGTTGGCTTAGAACGCTAACTCATAGCCACCTATAGGGCACTTTCAGAATTTAGATTTCAAAACTTAGCTAAGTCTTAGATATTTATCACTTCTTTAGTATTCACAGGACATTCTTCACTTCCTTCTCAGTCTGCAGAATATGTCATTGTTCTTCAGGGCCTCAGAATGAAAAGAGGAGAAAAAGAAGTGAAACTCAGATTAGTGTTGCTTCATCTAAGACAGAGACTGCTAAAGATGATGTCTCTTGTGAGAAGGGTAAACCTGTTGGCCCAAGTTAGGATTTTTATCAATGAGTTTCACTTAGGTATGAGGGTTTTTTTGTTTTTTGTTAATCTTTTTAAAACTTGAAAAGCTTGATTAAAATAAAAAAGCATAGTTTCTTGTCCTCAAATTAATGAACTTTGTACACCCTTTACGTTCCTGTAACTTGCACAGTTATTGCATTTGGAGTTGTGCATCGAGACCTTACTGATACAGATTGAAAACTCTTGAAAAGATGATGACATGTTGATAAGTGTATGCATTCTTACTTGGTACATATTTGTGGGCCAGTCCTTTCAGGAAAAAATAAGACAGGATTTCTAGACTTGGAGTATTAGAGCATCTGACACTGCATGGTGTTTTGTTATCCTAAAGGACTGTCTGTTAATAATATCAAAGTGGGGCTGGCGAGATGGCTCAGTGGTCTAAAGCACCTACTTGGAACAAGCTTGGCAAAGCACAGGGACTGCAGTTCAATCCCCCAGCTCCACATGCCAGCCAGCCCCGCCCCCTGATGGGCTGAGCTGGCCACACACACACACACACACAATAAATAAATAAATAAACTTAAAAAAAAAATATCAAAGTTAAGCCTGATGCCATCCTGGGCAGCTTTGTGCAAGGTGTTAGTTAGTGTTAAAAATGTAAGCATGGGCAGTCATTGCTGTTTTTAAAATGCAGAGTTTAAAGTAGGCCAGCTATTTTCCTTGTACCCAGAGAAGACCTGATCTCATTTTCTCTTTATTTTTAGAATCTTTTATTCAAAACTTTAGCATTCTCTACAGTCCCTTGAAAAGGCATCTCATTGGAAGTGATTCTGCCCAGTTCCCTTCTCAGCATTTAATCACTGAAGTAACAACTGATACCTTCTGGGAAGTCATTCTTCAAAAACAGGTACAGAGTCTCCAGAGAGACAAAAAATCATTTGTCCCTATTAAAATCATTTCCAGAGCTGCAATTGTTAGGGTGAATGGTCTCTTTGAGTACTGCACGTGTTAGCCACAGGACAGTCTGCTGGTGGAACGTAAGTGAATTACATGTTTTTCTAATTATATGAAGTTCTTAAAACACATAATTGGACCAGGGAGATGGCTTAGTAGAATAAGCACTTGCCTGGCAAGCACAAGGGTCTGAGTTCAATCCCCAGTTCTGCCAAAAAAAAAGAAAGAAAACACACAATTGAGTAGGTGTAAATATGAAAATGTTCTGTGTAATTTCTTCATAGCTGTGGCATTGGCTGAATACCTCCTGGATTCTAAGCATAGCAGAGAAAGGAAGAGAATTCGTTTCCAAGGTGCAAGTAATACCCATTTTCCTTCCCATAGGATGTCTTGATGCTCTATTATGCCCAGTGGTGCGGCTTCTGTCCATCCCTCAATCACATCTTCATCCAGCTTGCTCGTCTCCTACCAGAGGATACATTTACTGTGGCCAGGTAAGGAAACCTGCTCAGCAGTACCATGCAGGGCTGTGCTGTCCTCATTTCTTTGCAGTACCGTCATGATGTGGTGGTGTCTTCCACTAGCCTGGGGTAAGGTGGGTTGGATTTTATTGTCAGACCTGAGCCAGGAGCACAGCCTTTTTAAGCTGACCTAATGAATTCTGAGTGTCCGTGATAGTGAGTATGTTTAGTAATATCTAGATTCATGGGAGGGCAAGTACAGTTCTGACTTCCTAGAATCCATGGGAAAGGGGACGTGGGGATCCCACTGATCTGGATTGGAGCACCAGCCCTTGTATTCCTCCTCACTGTGTAAATCAGGAAGAATCATTGGTTGATAGCCATGGATTCTTATTTTATGAGCCCTTGTGGCTGTTGTATAAACAAAGGCATTTTAATAGTTTTTGTTTTGTTCTGTTTTGCTTTTTGAAAAAGCTCACATACAGGGTTTTTATATGAGGTAGTAAATAGTTTTGGTGGGATGGGTTTCGATTTTTTTCCCCACCCTTCAAAATACCCCTCCAGATAGATTAAATAGAAAAGAGCAAATCACAGAACCAAAGAGAAGACAGAATATTGAATTCATTAGTTCTCTTAAGAGAACTTCTAAAGTAAAACCAGTTGAAAAAATGCTAAAAAGATAAACAGATGGTACTGGAAGTTATGTGCAGTGAAAGCAAAGGAATAGTATAAAGACTTTTAAGCAGTGTCTATTTTGTCTGTTATACAGTGTACCGTCAGAGAGTCTGGAACATTCAGAAAAGTTAGTAGAGTCATCACTCTCTTTTTACTGAGACATAGAAAGATCAGATAAATTTTACAGTCACACAACCTATCAGAGAAGGGCCCGGATTCAGAATCTAGAATTTTACTCTAGATCTCGCAGTTAAGATGGTTAAAGGACAGGTGAGAGGAACTCCTGTGTAAGATAGAGCAGGGTCTGTATGAGGACAGGGTACATAAATAAGTGGGGAAAGTGAACCTACTAAATGTAAATTAAAACATTTAAAAAGTGTGATTTACACTTACTAAATTCATAAATGCCTTTAAGTGACAGACTCTTGTGTTAATAAAATAAAATGAAATTTGGCATAATCAAATATAGTAAATGGAATGAGTAAATTGGTATGAGCCTCTTGGAAAGCGTTTTGGCAAAATTTGTAGGGGAAAAAAATCACAAAAGGTTATACATTTCCTAGTTAACTTCACCTTGAGGAATTAGGGAAGTAGAAATCCCAGAAAAGCATTGGCTAGTCCTTACAGCATTCTTTAAATCCAACAGTAGATAAATAGGAAGTCAATCACATTGGCCTTTGATAGTTTTTGTTTTTTGAGATAGGGTCTCACCATGTAGTTCAGGCTGGCCTTGGACTCACTGTGTAAGCCACACTGCCCTCAAACACAGCAATCCTCTTTCCACAGAGTCTAGAATGCTGGGATTATAGATGTCTACCCCCACATCTGGCTTTGATAGAATTTTTATCCATTCATGAAAGTAATGTTTTGTACACTGTTAATTGATAAGTAGACTATGAGATAACTGGTCCTAAAACTGTAAGCTTATAGATACTGCCTAAATGAGAATCCCAGGCACCAGTTTAGCCTGAAGGAATTTGAACTGGATTTTTGCAGTGCTTTTCTTTGAGTTTACTCTTTCATTGTGGTAAAAAAAAAAAAAAAAAATCAGGAAAAAACAAAGCATTTGATTATAGAAGATAGTGTTTAACACCAAAATCTTGAAAAGTGGAACTCTGCTGTTTAGAGAGGCTCTTGCTGACAGAGGTAGGCATACTTTCAGTTTTGCCAGTTTTTTTCTTTTAATTTTTTTTTCTTTTTTTTATTTTTTTGACATCAGTTATTTTTATTTTAAAGAAAAAAAATAAAAACAATGGTATAAAATCTCAAAACAAGATTTTAGGAGAGTAACAATGGTTAGTACATTGTGTATTGTTACTG